ACTTTTCATTACCTTAGTTTTAAAATCTATCACATACTGAATCACCTTGGAAAAGTCATTCATCCACTCTAAATTCATTTCCTTTAAATGTAATATATAAATAAGTACTATGATTACTTTTCTTTTGGATTATAAGAGGAAATAAGAAACTGCATATGAAAGCACTTTTGTTGTTCTTGCAACAACTTATAGAAGACCAAAAGGGCACCTTTGGGTTTACAAAGGCAGATGGGGAGTGGAAAACATTAAATGGGAGGGAGAAACAAGACAAATGAAACAGGTAAGGGGCAAATATAAAGAAGGGTTTATCCTATATAATAATGAGGGAATATGCTAATTTATACGTGATAGTGTCCCCCTAATGACCAATTTGCATATTGATGCCTGCGCAGAAGGGGGCAGGTGGTGGGGGAGAGGGGACCTATTTGCATATTGATGTGTGCACAGCAGGGGGCGAGCAGCCGGAGCCAAGTTCGCTGGGGCCCAGCACAGCTCTCCTCCCTACAACTCCAGACCCAGGTGGAGGCAGGCTGAGTGGCCTCCACCCCAGGGTCAGACCCTTCCCTTCCTCTCCTACCCCGCCCACAGCTGTCTCCACAGCTGAAGTGCACTGAACCTGCCTGGGGGTTCGGCTAAACCCACCCTCCTAGCCCGCCTGGCTCCTCCCTGGCCCAGCCCCTACCCCGCTCCAGGAGATTGGAGCCCCATCCTGAGCAGGTACAGCTGCGAAACAGCCACAATTTAAAGAATGGCGCCAAGCAGGAAGGTTTGACAGTTACTCCCCCTTCGGCCTCGCCACCCCTTTAGCGCCCCCCTAACTCCCTACCCCCTGCCAGCACCTCCAGGGACAACCAGCACTACAGGGATGCTGGCCAGAGCCTGCCTCTCCAAGGCCTGAGGAGAGCGCCTGACAGGAGCCCAGACTGCAAAGAAGGAAGAGGAAGCGTCCACGGGGAGCTCTTCAATCCCCCTGCACGGACAGCCTACCCCAGCCCCTACACCCCCAGGGGAATGGATGGACACCCTACCCCAGCCCCTGTACCCCCGGGGGGATGGGGCTCCAGACCCCGGTGGAGGCAGGCCTGAGTGGTCTCCCCAACCCAGGGCCAGGCCCTCCTCCCGGCCCCCCAACAGCAGCAGCGCCATCTCCACAGCTGAAGAGCCCTGAACCTCACCGGGATGCAGCTAAACCCGCCCTCCTAGCCCGCCAGGTTCCACCCTGGCCCCGCCCCCATCCCAGTCCAGGAGATTGGAGCCCCGCCCTGAACAGGTACACCTGCGAAACAGCCACATACAATGTAAAGAATGGCGCCCTCAGTGGATAGAGCATCGGCCTGCGGACTGAAAGGTCCCAGGTTCGATTCTGGCCAAGGGCATGTACCTTGGTTGTGGGCACATCCCCAGTAGGAGATGTGCAAGAGGCAGCTAATCGATGTTTCTCTCCCATCGATGTTTCTAACTCTCTACCCCTCTCCCTTCCTCTCTGTAAAAAAATCAATATATTAAAAAAAAAAAAAAAAAAAAATGGCGCCAAGCAGGAAGGTTAGACAGTTACTCCCTTTCAGCCTCGCCGTCCCTCTAGCGCCCCCCTAACTCCCTGCCCCCCAGCCAGCGCCTCCAGGGATGACCAGTGCTACAGGGCTGCTGGTCAGAGCCCGCCCCTCCAAGGCCTGCAGAACCCTCTGCAAAGCTTACATAACTACAGTCCCAGGAAACAATCATGCCCTCCTTCCCTAATCAGCACCTGCTACCTGCAAGAGTGCCCGTGGGCAGTTAGGGGCGAGCAGGCTGGCAGGGGGGCTATCCTTGTGCCCTCATGTCACCACAAGATGGCCGTCCCCACGCCATCACAAGATGGCTGCCCAGAAGGCGTCCCTCCCATGTAGTCACAAGATGACCACCACAAGATGGCCAGGGCCGGCGGGCAGTTGTGGGTGATCAGGCCAGCAGGCAAAGTAGTTTAGGCCCACAGGAATTGGGCCTATACCAGCAGTTGGACATCCCCCAGGGGTCCCGGACTGGTGAGGATTCAGGACAGACTGAGGGACTCACCCCCTCCCCCTGCATGAATTTTGTGCACTAGGCCACTAGTCTTATCATAAAGTATTTTCTATAATTAAAAAGAACAATGTGTGACTCAGTGAATAGAGTGTCAGCCTGCAGCCCGAAGGTCCCAGGTTCGATTCTGTCAAGGGCACGTACCTTGTTGCAGGCTCCTTCCAACCCTGGGCCATGGTCAGGGCTCGTACAGGAGGCAACTAATCGATGTGTTTCTCTCACACCGATATTTCTCTCTGTTTCCCTCTCTCTCCTACTCTCCCTAAAATCGGTGGAGAAATATCCTTGAGTGAGTATTAAAAAAACAACAACAAAAACCAATGTGATCCGAGTTCAAAAAAGATTAAATTGAAACACCAGAAACAGAATATTAAACAATTTCATAAAACATAAAGAAGGCAATTCACTGCTACCTGCAAGAGTGCCCGTGGGCAGTTAGGGGCGAGCAGGCTGGCAGGGGGGCTATTGGGGGTGATTAGGCCAGTAGGAGGAGCAGTTGGGGGTGAGC